TCCTCCTCTAAACATAATTGAATATTTCATTTATTTATTTTGGTAATAGACTCATATTTCTAGTCAACAAGAATATGCAGCATATTCTGTGAACCTTGGTAATATAAACAAAATGTACTAGTTTCAAACTTTCATTTATCCTTTAAGGATTAATTCAAATATCCTTTGTCCAGTCTTCCTTAACATTCAGAAGTCATCAGTCCCTCCACAGCTCTTCATTAACATTTAAAAAAATACTGCTAGTGGAGTGTTTCTTACAATAATTTTTAATTATTTTTTAATTACGTGCACAATTCTCAGGCATAGATGCATTGTTCATTTTTATATTCCTATTATCCAGCACAGTGTCATGTATGTAGAAAAAGTTAAAACAAATTTGGTGAATAATAGTAAACATAATAATAATTAGCATGTGTTAAAACTTATGTCAGCAGTGGTGCTAAATCTTTTCCAAATAACACTATGAGACAGCTATTCTCAGTTACTAATGTGGCTTGGGAACTGAACTCATTGCTCAAGACCATAAAAACAAGAAGGGGCAAAGTGGCAAAGTGCAGACTCAGCCTAGTTCTCTGACCACAGAACTCAACATTGATGGATATCAATTTGGTTTTATGTTTACATTGACAGAAAACACCCAAAATATGTTGGTACTTCCTCCCACTATCATATTAAATCCTCACAGTAACCCTGGTATAATAAAATAATACACCATTAACTATTTTACAGATATGGATATTGAACTGAACATTGGAACTGAAAAGGCTCTAATACATAGTATTAGTGGATTAAAGTCTAGCCAATAAAAGCTGAATTTTCATTTTGATGACAGCAGACATTGATATAGTATAGTGTGGTGTGGTACTAATCCATACTTTCAAGAGAATCTAAACAAACATTATTTATTAATCTTTTTTTCTATTTTACTTCTTTTGACTTCAATGGCCAAAGAATCTTTTCAAATGAAAAAGAAAAAGAAAACTTGAAATAGTTTTATATTACTGAGAAATAGAAAGAGAAACTTTTATCTTAAAATAATTTAAATAGAATTAATGATTTCTTCACTGTAGTACAATAAGGACATTAATCGGAATAATGTCCAATAGAGGATTGTAGAGATCATTTACTAATATCCCAAGTTTCTTTTTCAGATTATTCACTAATTTTATAGCTGTTACTTATATGAAATAGAGTGAGCTGACTTAACTTCATAAATGAACCCATATATTTGAGTCCCCATGCATACAAAGTTCCAAGTACCAAATACTTATGCAATTTTTGTTTCTATATTTTCTTTGTATTCATATTAATATTGATGTCTATTAAAATATTTAAATTGCCATGGGTTATTGAAAACAGACAAATTTGGAACTAGTAATGATCAAAAACACTATAAAATGAAAGTTTAATTACAGTGTGAATAAAAAAATGCAAATAATAAATTCTCAGAGTGTAATAAGCATGGACTTGCAGACATCAAAGGAAACTAAGGCTTACCAATCATTGTCATATTCCTGCTTTAGATGGTAATTAACTTCAGGTAAATAACATCTATTATAATACATCAATACTTTCTATATTAAATTTATTGATATTATAGTTTACTTGTGCTTGATTATAAATTTATCTTGATTTTATAGATGTACAAAGGCTATAAGAAAGACATACTACTTCATGTTGTGAATCTTGAAGTGGTAATATAAGAAGAGTAATATATTGCTATGGGTTCATGAAAATATTGTGACCTTTGAAAATATATTTTAAAAAACACTGGTAAACTGAGACAAAGTGAAGTACACAGTTACCTTAAAAACTAAAGTATATAATATTTCATTATATTTAATAATATAATATCAAGTCTTTAGTAATTTAAGTGAATATTCCAGATAATTACTTTGTGAATATTTATTCATTAGTTTAACATGGATTTTCTATATGCATCTATGGGTCAACACCTGAGAATGCAGCATAAATAACTACATGGCCCTGCACTTCTTTCCTGGGAGGGCTTAAAATTAACAGGAAAATCCATAGGCCTATTAATTACAAGGGTAGAGAGAAAGTGAAGGTCGTAATGGCAGATTTTAAGTGAAAGATCTAATCTTCCTAGAGGTAATAAACTAATTCTGGAAAGGGAATTAGAATGATCTGGTTGAAAGACAGAATGAATAGCTTATGAGAATGGTTCAATGTAGAAAAGAACATGGTGTATTTGACAACTTAAAGAAATTCTGATTAGCTAAAAATACAGTGATTGTGGGAGTTGTATGAGGTGAATTTGAAGTAAGGGCAAAAAGCCAAATCATGCAGATTGTCAAATCACCGCAAATATTAGCTTTATTCCTAAGGTTATTGAGAAATTGCAGGAACCTTTAAAAGTGGGATTAAATGATCGATTTTAATGTTTTAAAGGTCATTTTGACTACGTTGTAGAGAATGCAATAGAGGAATAAGAAGTATTTTTCTAAATATATAGAAAAAATTGTGATTCTTTTTGAATCATGTCTACTGACTCTTACTTTAAAAATGACTTAACTAACTCCCTATATATACCTGATTATTCCTTCAGTACACTCTGATTGATCATAAATTTAACAAAATTTCCTTGTACCACCAGGATGATTTTTCTCTTTTTTCATTATCTTTCAATCCTTGAAGGAAGAGATAATGTAGTGTTTATATTTATTTCTCCTAGAAGAAAAAGTGGTGCTCATTAAATACTTCAGGCACATTGTTTAATTTTCTTTTTTGAAGAACGCCGTTTTGATGACGGTCAGTTCCAATTTAGATATTTAGACTTGCTAGGGATCAAGTCTTAAGATTGTTTTATATATGAAATTTTAGCTATATTTTGAAGTCTTTTAAAATATTAAAAAACACATGTAGAATCACAGGTTTCCTTTATCCTTAATATTAACAATTTTTACACCATAATGTTAATAGATTTCCTCTAAAGCCTAATTGATAAATGGCAGAAATTATTGAAATAGTAATAGACTTTTGAAGAAAGAAACAGAAGGACCATTTTTATTTAAAGTAGTTGTTTGATAACAGTATAATTTAATTCACTGTGAATGATAAATAGAACATGTAAAGTGTTCTCCATATTATATATTTCATATAATTTAAATATAAATGTATGAAAAATTTTTATCCAAAGTAGATGGCACCAATGAATGAATATTACATTCAGAAACACCATTTTAGAAAAAATGTGGGGAAAGGTGAAACAGGTATGGGTCCTCAAACTGCACTGAAAAATTATGTTGGTGATTAAGAAAACATGAACACTGGTTTAGAATCAATCTAGGAAGCACTCTTGATAATTAAATTAAACTTACATGAATATACTTTAAAATTACATGTGAATCATTTAAAATCACTATTAATAACCTGTATTACTATCTTGTCTTCTTTCAATTAATAGAAATCAATTGACTTTTCCCAAGTACTATAAAATATTAATTTTTAATTATGGAGTTGTTCAAAAAACATAATTACACTAATCACATTATAGTTGATATTTACAATTGACTTATTTAATAAATTATCCTATGTCTATTTGGTGGAAGATAAAATGATTTGGGGGTAGTTTGTCAATGTTAGCTAGCTCTTAAAGTTTTCCAAAGAAAAAAATAATTTTTGCTTTCTAATCAATATATTAATATAATTGTACCTATTTTTATTTCCTAGTAATAATAAACTGTCTACTTGATTAAGAAAATTACTAATTTTATTATAATTCTTATATTCTTCTGAGTAGCAATATTGATGGTACTGAATAGAAAAAAAATGAATAGAGAAGCAAGATGATGTCAGTTTAATCCTTCAAAGTAAATAGAGAAGCAAGATGAAGTCACATTATCAAATGATAAAAATTCATTTTGGGATATGTCTACTAAAGAGAATCAAAGTAACACAGTACAGATTCTAATGGAAATGAACTTCTAAGATATTTTTATATGATTTTCAATTAATTTATATCAAAATGTCTTGATTTTCCTCTTTTAATTGCTCTTAGCATTGAATGATTTTTCATATTCATATCATTGTCTTCATAAGCAATGCCTAATCTTTACACTACATAAACTATAGCGAGTTTAAAGAATATATGATGATGAATTGGAAATGGAATAGATATTTTATACTTCATATACATGCAATAAATTAATGCTTCCAATAATGCATGTATTGATATAAATGAAAAATTTTATTTTTGACACTATATTTTTTCCTAAAGGAATCTGTGCAACTTGCCATTAAGAAACAGAAAAAAAAATGTTTGCTTGACTTCCTAATTTTGTAAAAGGTAGACTTATATTAATTGAGTATAAAATTATCATGTATGATTTAGTTCTACAATTCTTTTTCTCCAAAAAAACAAATTAAGAAGTTAAAGTATGTTTTAATTTTGGAGTTACTTTAACATTAATCACTGTTTCCTTTCCAACATGTGATACCTGCTTTCAATACATTCATATGGGTAACACAATAGATAATTTAGAAAAAAAAGAATAAAATATATAAAACAATAACCAGACAGGTTTACACTTTCCAATCAAATTATCTGTTTTTCTAAAGTATATTTAGCATGTATGACATAAAATCCCATGCAAACATGGAAAATTACTACATGTGATAAATGATTATGTAAATATGTGCACTCATTAACAGAAAGTGGTTACTTCATTTTTCTGTTACCTCAACATCATAAATGATATGTAACAACTAATAGGTATTTACTATTAGTTTACTATCACTTTAATGCAGTCTTTTCTATTTATTCTCATCCCCTTCAATGTTTACTTTGTACTTTTTTTTTAATTCCTGTGCTTCCAAATTATTCCTGTTTTGTCTCTTACTATCTATATTATTCAGCTACTTTGAACTCTCACTTTCTATATCATGGTTCTCTTTTAGCTCATTCTCTAATTAGAATCATTACCAAAAGATATCTTTGTCTGTAACTAAATGGGCACAAGTAAAATAACATCCAATACCTCTATGAGTAACAACTGCAAGCTCTTTAGTTCTTTCTATCTGTTCAGCATTTCTTGGTCTTCTCCTTGTACTTTGTGTATCTGCTTGATGAGAAGCGAGCCCATCCTTGGACGTGTTGGGGTCCAGACCTGAATTTCTGAGATTCGTAACTTGCATTCGCTGTTCCTCGGAAAGTCTATGGATGGTGACAGCTGTAACACTGGATACAGTAACATCTGCAGGTGTGCTAGCAACAGCAATAGCACCAGTGGTAGTCCTGTTATGCTCCTCTAACTCACCAGTGGAGGTAGTGTGGGTCAATGTAGAAGAACCTGTGGGACACAGTAGCACTAGATGCTAACTCTTTCTTTTAAATTTTGTTGTTTTAATTTTCTGATAAGTTTAATAAATTATATTCTTTTCTATTACCTTAAGAATAATCAACACGAAGAGGCAAAACACATACACGCCACTAAAATGTGAAGCACACCAGATCTGTAGGTTTCTTTATATTAATCAACCTATAGATAAATATCACATACAGAATGCAATACATTTTTACTGGAAAGCATAAGGGGGATGAAAGAGTAAACCGTTTATGTGATCCTGAATTAATCTTTTTCTTCTTATTTTTTAATCCGCACAGAATTTTAGAAACAATGCCTGGCAAGTGACAGGTTTTGACAGAATGGTAACTATGTAACCATACTTTACTCAAAAGTATGTTCTGAATATTCTGTAACATATCTCTTCATAACTTCTGGGAAACATATAAAAATTTTCTTTTTTAAGACAAGCAAGTGAAAAAAAAATTAAATCAAAACAAAAATAAAAACCAAATGATGAAAAAATGAGACTGAAATTACAATATGTAAATATCAAATCTTAATTTCATTTGCCAGAAAGCTTCCAACATAGTAAAATGTTCAGTGTCATGAGCTATATAAACTTTAAAATTTATGTCATGAGCTATATAAACTTTAAAATTTAATGCATTTTTAAAAGATTAGTTAATATTTTTACTATTTCAATATAAAATTTTAAATTAGCCAATTTTGAACTAATTAAAATTAAACAAATAATTTACTTTAAAAATGTTTGAAATTATTAGTGAATATGGAACTTGTATTCACACAATATTAGTCTTAAATAATGATTGGTATGTCTAAACATCACATTAGCATTTTCACCATGTGTATATAAGTATCTATATATATATCTATGGATATATATATATATATATATATATATATATATATCCATATACATATTACCCTATGATATAATTATATAAATAATATTACCACATTCTCATCCTTACTAAAGTTTTAGTAAAATTTAAAAACATTTATTGATAATGCCAAATTAGGATCTTCTTTTTCTTTACACTTAAATTTTTAAAAGGTAGTACATGATTCTTATGTAATAAAGAAGTAATCTTATAATAGAAACATGAAACTGAATGAGAATATATTTTAAAAAGCTCTTGACATCTAAAATGCTTAGCAAGATAAAGTATTGAATTTTGGAGCTGCAACTACTAATTAGGAATCATAGTCAGGTGCTGGTTAGAAAACTCCTGAATAATTTTAAAACCAATGAGTGGTATGAGTTTTTACATACTGTTTTCAACATTTCAAAATTCTGTCCACAATATTTAATTAGATAGACAAACATGCACAGAAATACTTTGACCATTCTAAAAGAGGAAAAAAGCAACATCGATTAATATGACTTGAGAATGCTCTGCCTTGTCTCTTTTTTCTCTTGTGCTAAAGGCAGATGACTAGTAGACTAGTAATTCTGCTTTTTGCCTTAAACTCAAAAAGGAAGAAAGGAAGTTAAATATGAGGCTCCTCACTGAGAGGCAAGCAAAAAAATAAAAGCATATCTCTGCTACAAATTCTTTCAGCCTGAATTGTCACATTCTATCGATTTTGATATAAAAATTCAGAAGAATTAAATGATGGTTATACTTTGAGGGAACCAGAGGTAAATGAGGTATGACAATTATTCGATTTTTTAAAAATGTTAATATAATTTAAACATCAATCAGGAAAATCCACTATTAAATATTTATCCAAGTTATTCTGCAAAGATTAGAATCTACTAAATTCATGATGGTTATGCAAATTGGCCTTTGGTGTTTACTAAGATAATATTTAGTAAGGGTTTACTTTAATCACATGGTTAGGAAATAACTACTTACTGTACTTACATGCAGAAACTGATCTCATGTAAACTTTTAATTTGGGATGTCTATATGCTCATTACTATGAAAACTGGTCCATATTGTGTTTCTAGAAATTTATTTGAGCATTCCATTTTTGAAAAAAATGTGAAAGCCAAATGAAAACCTAATATTTTAGTATTTTTATTACTTCATAATTTCCAGGATTTCAGATTTAAAAAGGAAATCACTGAACTATAAACATGTGCTTCTACTTAAAAACTAAACGTATGAGAAATAATAAAATTTGTACTTTGTCTCAAACATAAATATTCATACCTTTAACAAAGAGGTAAACTGAATTACTAGATTCCATCGTGAGTCACTATGACTAATATCAAAAAATTTCTTGGATTTTAGTCAATAATTCTGTGGTAATTTTTGAGAACAGACTTAGGTTGCTTCTCTAATTTGTCACCCAAACCTACAAACAAATTACAAATACCTATATTTATCCCATGAGATAAACAAAGTTCCAGATCAATATGAGAATAATAACTGATGTTTATTAGAGCTTAGATTGGAACCTTGCTAGCAACCCCGATGTTAAAAATCTTCAGGTTTATGTTCATATATGAATACATGACCAGTGTAACTCCATATAATATACAAGCACAAGAATAGGATCCTAATTAGAATGTTATACTCCATGTATGTATAATATGTCGCATTATGTATACCTAAAAAGAACAAATAAAAAAACTTTAACTTTAGAAGTGTGACTTCTACCAACAGTGGTATTGGTTCTGTACTATTCTCCTATACTGAATACAGGACAAGATTTAATGCTAAAATAGAGAATGGAAAACCCATTTCTTTAATAACCATAATCAAACCAAATATGTTCTTCAACCAAGTATTTTACTACCCACTTTTCATAATTTAATATACATCATAATCTTTCATTTGCATACTAGCATGCAAGTTCCTTGAAGCCTAGAGGTTTTTTGTTTGTTTGTTTGTTTTGTATTTGCTATTCAGTGTTGAATTCCTATCATCTACAACACTGTCTGGCCCATAACAGATGTTCAAGAAACACTCATCAAAAGAAAGACTACACGAAAGAATGAATTCAACAATAAAACTAAACTCATATTAGCAATAACAAAAATGATAAACAAATGAAACATGATTACATTCTTTCCACAGCAAAATCACATTTCACATTGACATAAATAAAAAAGCAATTATAAAAACGGGAGAGGAAACTGATATATTTTTTTTTAACTTTCACAAATAGCAGTTTGATAAAGTGTGGAATGTGAAGATTTAGTTGCATAAGTAAGAGTCACTTCAAGATATTTTTACTGTTTTCAAACATGAAATTTTGTCAGTGTGAAATGAGTTTACTAGGATGTTCAAATTTTTGTAAGGTGAAAAGTAGATATGACTTAATGACAGCAGAAAATAGAAGTGCATCTAAATTTAGATAGATATGTTTGGTGCATGTCGTGGAAGTAAAAATAAATAATATTGACTTCCTTTATAAAGCAATAAAATCACCCATCACCATACAATTTTATGACATATGTGTATATAATTTTTATTTGTAATGTAAACCAATTTAGAGTAATGATATTGGTGTCACTTTAAATTGTCAGTGTATGAAACACAGATTTTCGAATCATCAAAATCCATGATTTAACAATACAGATAGACTCAAGACTTTTGCATACATACTGTTTTATGAAGTAATTGTCAATGTTGGGGAAAGTCTTAGAATTATGTATAGAGACAATCCAGCATTAACTTTATATATAACTTATCCAAATGAAGTATGCTTCACAATTATGTAAACATTGTCTTTGATTGACACAGTTAAATGCATAAAAGACACATAAATCAAATTAATGAAAGAAAATGTACATTAAGAAAATTCACTCTTCATTTGAAATTGAATCATGTATACACGATGTAATTTATCACAATTATATTACTCTGTCATTAAATTACTTGAGATATATTTTGAGTAAGATGCTTACAATATAAAATCAGACCTGAAGTAAAAATTTTAAATATTATTTTACAAAACATTTCCCCAAATAACAAAAATAAAATAAAATGATTTACATATATATACATGCTTCTATAAATCAAAATTATATGTCACATTTGGGATTATGACAATGGAAAATGACATGGTATACATGTAAATTAGCAAATTTATTCAAAAATATTGCAGACAATATTAAATTAGGATTTGATTATATATTTTAATGAAAATTTAGTTTTTAAGGCTTTTTTTTATTTTAGCAATTATCTGCATGTGACTAAGAATAAGTCTGAATGTATCATCTAGAAAATGTACAAAATTAAACCTCATATCAGGATTCAATTTGAAATTCCTTTTTTCAATGTTTAAACCTGTAGATTGTTTTCAAATTTTATTCTGTGCTTCTCTGTACTTATTATCTAACTCATCACAGAGGAGCAGAAGAAAAGATGAGATAGTTTAAAACTTACAACTACATAAAAACACATGAAAAATAATTTTATATTCAGAGAAGTTGACTTTATATGTTTATATTTGGCACATTTTGTATCTAAATTGACTATATTCCATTTCTTTTAATTTTGTGCTTTATTTGAAGCATTTGCATGGAAGTTTAACAAAATAATAATATGTAATGACAAAATTCATCAAATATTTAAAATGAAAATAAGCAAAACAAGAGAAGGTTATATATGCAAAACAAAATAACAACAGAATAAAATCCAAATACTGCTAATGCAACAATTCTATTCCAGTCATTATTTAGATATTCTATAAAATTTAGTACATGTAATTTTATTTGTGGTTTGTTTTCTGTCTTTCCTTAACAATACTTAAATCAAACTCATAGAGAAATGTGCCAATATATGAGTACATCTGCAAACTAATATTATGTGTGTAAAGTAAAACAATGCCATGATTCATTACATGTTAAGTATTCATTTTCATTAAGCATGTGGTAGTTGAGAAAATAGCTAAAGTATTTTACATTTTGACATTATTAATTCCAGTATCCTAAAATCAGTATAGTTTGGTATCTAATAATTTAAATTGGTATTTATGTGACTACTTACAATTAACTAAATTAAAATACTGCATTTATATTAAAA